ACACAGATCTTATTATTAACAATGCTAGAAACTAATTAACTTTACTAAAAAATTCTTATTTATGAAAATAAATATAACGGTGTGATAGTAAAAAAATGAATCATGCTGCAACTAGTATTTCAACGCGAGTAAAATGAATATATTAAAGTTCAAGTAATACCATTTAATGTAGTTGCACTTGCGTCGGATCTCTGCACATTCATCGATGCGATCAGGGACCACTGGTTTGTTTTATAATTATAACGCTCTGCCGTTTTTTGCCGATGATATCCATCATAGCCCCCCATTGCGTAAACCAGATTATTTAAAACTGCCACACTAACGTAACATCTGCGACAAATGAAAAGATCCTGATGCGAGCCTTCATTGTTAATGACACTACCAAGGAGCTAGTCACTAAACTTTTGGTTTATATTTTACATCTAGATCGACAATCGACTCCCTCTTTTATTTATGCTTTATTTTCATTTATTAAATAAATTGTAAACATTTATTAAATTACTGTCATTGTTGTATATAATTAAAAAAAAATGTATACTTAAATTGTATACATATTTAAATGAGTTATATTTATCTAAAACCTAACTAAATTGCATACCGTATTATTATTTTTTTTAACTATCTTTGTTATAAAGAAATAAGCAATGAGATTGCAACTTATGATCCAAATCGTAGGACTAGTGACTAGCCCCTTTGAAATATATTCGACCTTCTGGCATTCATGGGAGCAACTTCTCGCCACACCTTGGTCACCGCGTTGAAGCAACGACAGCTGTTGAAGTAATCAACACCATCGAATCCACCGATGACGTAGATATCGAAACCAATCACCGCAAGCCCATGATAAGCCCGTGGACCAGTCGGATCTGTTTCCTCGATCTAAGAGACTCAAGATTTCGATACGAGTAAATTGCCAAAACTCTATTAAAAAAAATAATATTTACTTCAAAGTTAAAGCATAATGCATAAATGCTCTTGCGAAATAATAAATACCGCTTCGATTATTATTTTTTTTTTTTTTTTTTTTACTTAAACTTAAATGGAACATGTAAAACTTATTACGCAAACAAAATAGGAAAACGAAACGAAATGGGAAAAATCTAAAAAAGTAATCCTCTTCCTCAAACGTTATTTCAAGATTTCTATTAGATCTACATAAAAAAGAGCTGTAAAGGTGTCTAACACTACCGGAATCCATCGGTCCGCTCTTGTGTCGTACGTCTCGATGTAATTTGTCGGAGAACCACCGCTCCAGCCACCAATGGCGAACAAAATCTCATGTGGTACTCTAGGTCGCGCAATTTCTGGCGTCGGCACTTCTCCATCTTTTTGCGTAATCATCTCCAAATCGTACAAGAATTTCAAAGTCTCGATGATAATGGGCCGGCACGCATCGTTGCCCACGACATAGGGATGATCTTTGACATTCTCCAGAAAAAACTGTGTATCTAAAAGACCAAGTCTGATATTCTTCATTAGGTCGACGATATAATCTTTTCTAGCCTCCGGATCGTGATTTATCCATCTTAAAACCAATTCCCAAACCGTCTGCTCGCTCTTAACGTTTAACTCATCAGCGCCGACCAGCGGTCTCAGTTCTTCGATAGGTAAATGTAAAATTTCTTCGCTCCTCTGAGACACCTAATGCAAATTTGAGAGAAATGATATATATATATATATATATTGAACATCAAGGAAGGAAGCGACTTCCACAATTAATCGGATCGTTATGCTGACCTCGACGAAGTGTCCTACAATGAAACGATAAGCGTCGTTTTCTAGTTTCTTACAAAAATGTTGACGGGCAAATGTCATTACTCCGATGCAATTTTCCGGCGCCAAATTGTCTCTTAAATAGTCGCAGCATAGATCAAGCACACCTATGATACTTAAGTAATCCGCTGTGATCAGCAATTCACATACATTTTCACGATTCACATCGATCGATCGTAAGTACGCATATTCCAGCAGAAGATTCATTATCGGACTTGTGACGTCTGGTAGAAGGACATCGGTCTTTTCACGGGAATGCAATGTAGTTGTAAATAATGCCCTGTAAAATTAATTAAGCAATAAAATTCGCGATCATTGTCAATATTAACAATTTCTTGATACAAGAAAAGAAGACGTTAAACGACCGTTAATATCCGAGTGAAACGAATAACAATTATTATATAAGCATCATATTATTGAAAACAATTATTGACTTTATATATTATTTGTTATTCTTATAACGAGTTTTTTTAATTAAATTTACTTATTTAATTAATTATATTTAATTATTAATTTTGTATATAACAATAAACGTTACGGAATATCTAATATCTAGGGTAAATCCCAAAAAGAAAGGAATAAATTCACACGTTGAAAATCATAAAATTGAACCTGAAATAAGCACTGCACGCTGAAAGTATGGCTCGGTGAATCGGAAAGACACCACCATCTTCTAATCTCAATACCGCGTCGCAAAGTAGATTATTTTGTCGGAAATCATAGAGCGATTGCATCGCTTGCGTACTCATGCAGCGGCCACCATTTTCGGCTATCAAGCGTTGATTATTTATATTGCATTTTTCATTTTTTTTGTTACTGGTAGTTGGTTCTGCATCCATATCAAAATTTGAAATTGATGGAAAAGTTTTATTTCCTGCAGCGGCAGCGATACGATGGATTACAACATTTAAATGGTTTTGATTAAATTAATTGATTTTTTTTTTTCAATAAAAACCTACAAGAAAGAAAAGGAGCTGGATATTAATTCCAAAATGTAATGATAAATGTTGAATTGCAAAAAAAAATTATACAGGACTCTTATAATCAACATTGACATTAAAATTACTTAAATAAATTATTATTATTATCAAATAAATATTGAATTACAATACAAAGTACAATGAAATGATAAATAAGTACGATGCCCAATGAATTAATAATAATAGGCTATAATCATAAATTAAAACAAAATAATGAATTAAATTAATTAATTAACAATACAAATTGTAATGAACAATAATATGAATATGAATATAATATGAATAATATTAATTAATAAATTAATTAAAATAATAAATTTCGATCGTATTGATTAATTATTTGTACGTTTGTGATACTATGTATACAATACATAGTACACATTCAAAGTGTTTTTAAAATTTGTTTACACAAACAGCTGGATTTAAAAAAAAATTGTACATTATACATTTAATATTTATCTTACGTTTACATTTTATACTTACCCCAGTGAGAAATAATTGTCTCGTGAAAATTTAGAGCAATCGTATACGGGAGGTTAACAATTTCAACTAATCTTGATGCAGATTTGATTCGTACAATTTATGACTTGATAATTTTTTATTTGGAATAAAAACGTGGTTACGATCAAGTGCTGTTCGCGATCAGTTGTTGAGAATGATTAACTATGGCTGAAATGTGTTTCCATGTAGGTTCATATGTGTGCCGGAATTTAGAATGTGTCAAAATTTTGACACGTGGACGGGGGAGGATTGAAGATCAACGCGCAGTCTGAGGAAATGTAGAAGGGTGTAAGGAGGAATAAACTCGGTAAGGGGATTGTAAAGAGAATACAAATTATTTTGGTATGATTTTAAAATTGTCGAATAAATGTCGCGTCTGGCTGTGACATGTGGTCTTACATGTCCGCCGTTCAATCAAAGACTGCTCCTTGACAAAAGAGATCCTTCTGTTCCTGCTTCATAGCGAGCTTGCTACGAGTATTAATTACGTTAACTCATTTTCAAGATGTGAGTAAAATGTAAATTGTGAAAAATTTATCGAGTATGTCGGTCTTGATGTATCGATTAAATCAAGCAGCTAAAATAAAACAGCCGAGAGGAGAATCAAAATATTTCTCTATTATAAATGTCATTATAAGTTTTTTTTTGTGCGCAACGAGATAAATATATTCTAAATATAGTCACATTTAAAATTAATGATCACATTTGCTTAATTTCATTAATGATCGTTCAATCGTTGCTTATTCAATTGTTGAATTGAAGATATACGCGTTTGCTTAGGGCACGATCGAAATCTTATTATAAATTCTTCGAAGCATTTGACTGACCAATCGGAACAAAGAATTTTTCAATTGACCAATCAAAAAATGCTTCGAAGCATTTGTAACATCAAGTTGAGTCGCACCCTTAGTGAGTCATTAATTTTAATTCGAACTAGCTTTACATCCTTTTTCTCAAATAAAATATTCATATGTGCATCATTAGTGCATTTGACTT